TGCTGCCAGAGGAGAGGAAGAAAACTCAACCTAAACAACCCACTTTGTTTTGTTTATACTGTAACTATAGAAAACCTAAAATATGAAGCATTTTCCTTGTGGGTTATACAAGAATATAATTGATTATATCTAACTTTCGTTTTTAAGTATTAAACATACTATGAAAACTCACAACAGTGCTCAAACATTTAGGGTTTCCCATTAATGCACCAGCGCTACAGTTGAATTTTCTACTGCAACACTCCCCACGCACACACACACAGTGCACCCGCGACTGTTACAATGAAGGCTCGATAATCAGCTCACGGCATATAGGCAGGGCAGGGTTTCCGCTAGGATTTTTTCTCGCCGGTCAAATGTCCGGACAGAATTTATTTTACCGGACAAATTTGAAACTTACCGGTCATGTTTCAATAATAATAAAAAGAATTGTGTAGCAGAGTTTCCGTTAGCAGGTAATTACCGGATTAGGACCGGATATGCTGATGTTTAAAACTCAGTTAATGGGAGTCATTTTTATATTGCTTCAGTTTATAATCGTAACAGATCGGAAAAATTCAGATTCATTTTTCAATAAATGATTCCGCAAACAACAAACAACATAATTATTACATTCAAATAAACTACTTGTAGTAGATGAAGTACATTATTCAAAAGTTTAAATTAACTTTGAATAATAACACGGGAGAAACGGATCCTCTCTTTTCCTCTCTCCCTCCCTCTCTCCCCTGACAGCCCGTCAGTTTCTCATGCAGCTCACTAAACAGTGGGCGGGGCTTCAGGTGATCATGCAGCAGCTGATCTGATCCCTCTCTCTTGTCCTGTTACACTTCATTCGCGTTTATGTCCATATCGATCAGATCCAGCTCTCCTGATCGGCCTTTATAGAGAGCACAGATCAAACTATTAAGAGTGAATATCGGCCGATAATGATCGGCGGCCAATCGATAGGAGCATCGGACATTTTGACCGGCAGGTTTTGAATTTACCGGTTTTTATTAAATTTTACCAGCTAAAAACCGGTAATTACCGGCTAACGGAAACTCTGAGGCAGGGGTAACGTGCTATTTTTACAAGTGGGGAGCGGACCTCACCTCCTCTAGGAGGGTCCTCACCTCCTCTAGGGGGGTCCGGGGGTTAGCTCCCCCGGGAAGATTTGTTGTTACATATTTAAGTTAAAAGCATCATCTGGTGCACTTTGAGAGCAACATTAGAGATCTATGGATACATCTCAACACCCATACGAAACAGAACTGTCAACAGATTTTCTATTTCTTTATAGATATTTACAAATCACTCCCCTTTTAAAACAACCGTTTGAGACCCACTGAGATAACTAGACTAAAGTTAACTATCTAAACACTGAGAGAGTCCTTTACTTCACCTGAGTTGAGGTTACCTGAGACTCTCCGTCTGACAGGAGAGAGGTTCTCCCTCCACCTTGTTGTTGAAAAAGCTCCTTATATCCATTAGCTTGGCTAGCTAGCACCAGATGCTAACCACAACGGATCTCCGGTAGATACCCACTGGTGCGCGAGGGCGAGCTCTCTCGCTCGCTCGCGCACGCACGCACACAAAATGTCTCGTGCCACACACACACACACACACAACACACACAACACAACACACACACAACACACACACACAACACACCACAACACACAACACACACACACACACACACACACACACACACACACACACACACACACACACACACACACACACACACACACACACACACACACCACACACACACACACACACACACACACACACACACACACACACACCACACACACACCACACACACACACACACACACACCACACACACACACACACACCACACACACACACACACACCACACACACACACACACACACACACACACACACACACCACACACACCAGGGCTTGAATGAAACACAGAGACCCAGAAGTAAGCTACTTGTACTCACGAGGCCTATTATGTGCAGAATCCCTCTCGCTTTCAGTTGGTTTTGATTGAGTGTCCACACGTGGTCGTTTAAGGACTAAAAAACGATCAATTTTTCACTTGCTGTTAGCAAATCATTTGGCGCTCTAGCTAACAGGAAGTCAATCAAGTGTCACAAAGTAATTTAGCCTATGGGTAGGTCAAAAATCGAATTGGTGCTGACCATTGGCCTAATCATATCACCTGTGTTGGCTTTATGTTTTTGGTCAAAAATGTGTTTGTTTCACATATGCATTGATGTAATCAATAATATTTCTAATTTAATTTAATAAAAATAATAATAATAATTTTCGAAAAAAAAAACAACACATATTTCTTGGGGGTGCTTAGGGGGTGCTTTGGCAATCCTGGGGGGTGCTTCAGCACCCCCTAGCTCCCCCCTGGTGCCGCCCCTGGCCCCACCATGAAAAATGATGTTAAAGTAAGCAAAATAAAGTCTGCCAACTCGCGCGGAGTAAATTGCACAGACAGCAGTTAGTAAGATTGATTTCAGGAGCCACGGTTTTGAAAACTTTTGTCACGTAGTGATCGTCTTCTCAATAGAACATCTTTGATAACGGCGTGGTGTTGTTGCAGGAAGTCCCGACGGAGAATACTTTTGCTGTAGTACAGGGGTGCACATAACTGGTACGCAGGTTATGTGCGTAATCTCTCTGAAATGCGTACCGTCACTTGTGTCACAAAGTGCATTTGCGTACCGACGTACTTGTGAAGCTTTTCCAGAAGGCGGTTAGATCACCGGACGACAGAGTCGGTCTCCGTGTGCACAGACAGGGCTGCTGTTAACGTCGGTCTGTACAACGGAATTGTGCCAAAACTGTGCCAAAACTACGCCAACCGGCTGCGGAGGGAGACTTCCCCCCCTTCACTGGAGAACTGCGCTAAAACAGCTGATCACAACGTTCACACTCTGTGGTCACGAAGTACTCCACTAGCCGCCACCGCCCCCCCCCCCCCCCCTCTGTCGACTTTCCTGAAGTACTCCCCCGTTGATAGAAATCAACACGTAATGAATTAAGACCCCACGGTTTGATGATTGATAGGTGTGTGGGTTGTCTTTCATTATGACACGCAGAAAAATGTTATAATAAACATAGATACTGTATGTTAAATGGATATATCCGCCTTCTTTCATTTATCTTTCCATTCCCACAACAATATACATAAATAAATGGCATATTTTGGACATAGTTTGAATGGTGATTAATCATGATTAATTAATTTTTAAGCTGTGATTAATCTGATTAAAAATTGTAATCGTTTGACAGCCCTAATTTAAAACACATCAAAATCACATTTTTGAAAATAAACCCATGTTTTCAAGAATCTGATGTGTACTTTATTTCCTGAAATGTTAATGATTCACCCCAAAATTGTTTGTTTGGTGTACATCAGCTAAACAGCACTGAAACAGTGTGAAAAATGACCATGGAGTACATGTTCTCTCTCAAAGTGTTGAATAATCAGCTCTGCACAGTGACACTAAAAGACTGACTAAGAGTACATTTGAACTCTCTGAGGGTTCTAGGTTTACACTGCACGTGTTGGAAAGCACTCAAACAGTGTCAAAAAAGTACCAGTTATAGTGTATATTTTGACTCCCAAAGTGTTTGAATCTAACTCTTTATTTGGAGTTTATATTTTACACTTTTGACGGTGTTCAGAGAACACCAAACTCTTGGACCTATATACACCCAAAACTGGTGTTAAATGTACTCTTATAGAGTACAATGCACACTGTGCACAATGCTGTGTATTCATGAAAGAGTCGAAATGTTAAGAAATTAAAATTTACAAAATATTTACAATTAAAGATAATGTATCAGAATAAAGTCCCTACAGTAGTAGATACTGTAGGATCCATTGGAACATCAAAGTTGCCAAACCAGGATGATTGTATAAATACTGATACCACATTGGATATAAATGTCAAAAAGTTCAATCAGGTCAGTATGGACCCTCATTTGAATATTACAGTGATACAATTTAAACATACTCTTTAGTGGTGCACGATAATTATAATTATCGGTCCGATATTAGGAATTATGACGTCATCCCGATAAAACCGATAACAGTATTAATAGCCCCGATAATATACAATATATTTTTTGGGTAAAAAAAAAGAAAAAAATACTGCGGTGTGGGTGGATTGGGATGAGGGGTGCTTGTTTTTCACTCGGCTCCTCCCGTTTTGCCAGTACTGTGGTATTAATGGTTTAGGAAGAGGGGAGTCTTTCACAAATCCAGCGCTCCCTAACTCATGCCTGCTGTGACGTAAATGGTGTGCGGCCGTGAAGCCAGGACAGTAAACAAACATGTCGTCGGTAGTATGGGACCATTTCAAAGTTTCAGAGTTAGATAGTTCGCTTACTATTTGTATTAACAAATGCAATGCAGAAGTTCCACGAGGAGGGAAAAAGGCAACGAGCTATAATACTTCCAACCTGATTAGTCACCTGAAACATCGCCATCGCTACGATGGTGTGTTAAAAGCGTACGAAGACACCTGCGCTGCTAAACTAGCGGCGAATCCAAAGCCAGCTGCAAAGGCACCGGGGCTTTTACCTATCGACGAGGCTTTTGAAAAAGGCAAGAAGTTTGCCAGAGACGACCCCAGGGCTAAAACGATCTCTAACTTCATCATAGAAATGATGGCGCTTGACGAGAGTCAAAACTGTTCTTAGCTTTGTTTTGTTCATAGTAGTAATGCTCATGTCATTTGCTCACTACTAGTCTTTTTTTTACCACCAGATGTGCAAAAACTACAGGTACATTTAATATATATATATATATATTATATTATTATCGGTTATCGGTATCGGTATCGGTCTTGAGAAGCAGGAAGTTATCGGTATCGGTTTCAAAAACCAATATCGTGCATCCCTAATACTCTTCAGTATCATAGAGAAACGTAACATGATACAACATATCCTCATTCAACAGTTTTACACCCACTCCACAAAAATATTTTTAAGCATGAAAAATTTGATACAAAGTACACTTAATGCCTGCATGCATTCTCAGGAAATAGATTTATTAGGGATGACTGCAGTTACACATCTGCTTTTATAACCCGGAGCTCTGGGTGATCTTGGCGTTCTCCCTGAAGGCGAAGCAGCCGGGGAAGATGCCGATGTTTCCTGCACTGTGTCCCTCCAGCCACACCTCATTCACTAAGAGAGGTGAGAGCGACACGTAAAGACTCACACTGGAACACAGAAGGAAGCAGTTCCATGACATGCACATTCAGTTTGAGGTTTACCCTGCAGGGCCTCACCTTCACCCAAGATGTCGATGGTGTCTCCTTCGCTAAACTCCAGGTCCTCTGGTCCCTGAGCAGTGTAGTCGTACAGCGCCACCATCTGGTGGAGGATAGAGCGGTTGGCTAAGGGGTCTTCTTTCTGAAGAAGCACAATAAGGGGTTAATCCTGTATATTAGATTATTACTAAAATAAATCATTCACTAAATTGAATTTGGGCATGCCACTTGCAAACACATTTTAAAGGATCCAATGCTAACATTGTTAGATAATTAAATCAACCAATATATTGCAAACTACAAAATGATTCTATACCTCTATACCTTGGCATTCCAAATAATAAAAACAGGTATAGTTTCCATTGGTTACAGTATTGCTATATCATATTATTCATTAGATCAGATCCTCACCTGACACCACAGGGTAACTCTGCCAGCCTCAGCCACATCTTGCACAGTACGGCCTGGCTCCCCCTCGCCCCCCAGAGGGATTAGCATCCGGGAGCCATGCTGCTTATATCTGATGACACAGTGTTATGGGTTATGGCCGAGGAATAGATGATATGTTTAGGGCATCAAGAGGGAAACATTGGTTAACAGATGATAGGAAAGAGTTGGAGCCATTAACAGCCTCTTGATATATGATGGATCAGACAGATATATTTGAGTTAAAGCATTATTTATTAAATATGGTTTTTAGAACTTTTTTTTTATTTTTATTTTTTTTTAACAACTTTATTTTTCTGTTTTTCACAAATACATTATGTCCAACATTTATGATAAAAAGTTGCAAACCCCCTCAAATACCACCCCCCTCCCCCTCCAGGTGGTATTGCCCAATGAATAGACAAACATACGACAGAAAGATAAATCAAGAAATGAATGGTCTTAGAAATCAAATGTAAAAAATATATAAAATTAAAAGTAACATAAGGAATAGACCAAAATAAATAAATGCAACAAAATAATGATGACAATAGACAGTATTCGAGTAAATATTCAGATATAAAACATCACATACATAACCCAAACAAAACATTTTAGTTTATGCTATTCTTATTGCCAGCCTTCTAAACCTCTAGTGTGACAAGGTACGTAAAAACTCCAAGCCCACAATCAAGGACCCCAGAGTGCCCAGGTCAAAAGTCAAAGAAAAATTGCAAAGTGAATCAGGTGAGGGATAGGCCTCTAACATGGGTAATAAATAGCGACCAAGTTTAGTCGTATTTGTAAACTAAATCGCGCACTGCATATCTGAATTTGTTCAACTCTGACCCCAGCATCACTTCCCTGATCCAATGAATGTCGGAAGGGGGATTCTTTCCTTTCCAATTTAGCAGTATGAGACGGCGGGCATGCAACGACGCATAGGCAACCGCATTTTTGTGGAGGGAGGAGAACCCTAGTCCTGTGTCAACAGTTCTACAAATAGCTGTTTGAGGGTTAGGAAACATTATCCTGTCAGATATTGCAGAGAGTGACCAAAACACAGAAGCCCAGAAACTGCTTAATGACGGACATGACCAGATTGGTATGTTGTGATCCCTACACAAGTGCGTAAAGGATGCAAAACTGTCAGTCACTAAAAAGATCTTGAAAATAGAACAAGCCACTTCTATGCAAACAGCAAATGCCATGTCCAAACGGGATGGTGATTAGACATTATTGGCGAAAAACTGCATATGCTTTTCAGATTCAAATGTTTCCTAAATTGGCCCCAGATCTTAATTGAGTTTTGGACCACTGAGTTTGAGTTAAACTCGCTTACTTTAATATTCAATGGAAGGGGGGCAGTTAAAAATGAGATTGGGGGACTTCCGATTTACACATGAGGCGATGAGCAGCTAAAAAGAGGAGCTCCCGGCCGAATAAGTTAAAAAAGGAAGAAAACCCCTGTAAATGCAATTCGAAGTTGGAAGAATAGGTCATGAGCAAATCACTAAGTAAGAAAGGAATGGAGAAAAAGACGAAAGTCGAAAAACTGTCGGGAAAGATGCAGATCCAGACGGAACACCGACAGCCGTTAACGGCTAACGCAACTAAAGCTAGCAACAACGAGCAACCTAGCTGGGTGTCGGCACTGCAGACTAGCTTAGATGCCATGCAGGCTAAACTCGAGAATGCCCAGCACAACATGGATGCTAAACTGGATCAAATTGGCAGCCAAATGGAAGAAAATCTAAGAGGAGTACGTGAAGAAATGGGACAACTGAAAGAATATATGGACAAACACGGAGAAGATATGAAGCAAGGGCTTGATAGCTTCAGAGAGGAAACAAATAGAAACTTTGAGATTGCTGAGGCGGAGATGCAGGCCCAAAAGAAGGATATGGAGATCCTAGAAGAGCGTACGGCTGGGTCGAGGAGTGGAGTACCGACGTCCAGGACATTCTTACAGCCTTTCTTGAACAACAAACCAAGCTCCAAGATAAGTTGTCCGACATAGAAGGGAGGTCGAGAAGAAATAATACGAATTTGGGGGTTGAAGGAGGGAATAGAGGGAGATTCGGTCTCCGAGTAAGTCGACAGGTTAATTCACAAGGAGCTGGGAATGTCGGAGGATATTAAGTTGGAGATTCAAAGGGTGCACAGGGCACTTGCTCTAAAACCACAACCAGACAAACCCCCAAGAGCCATTATTGTCAACTTCTTGAGGTTCGAGGTCAAGGAGAACATCATCAAGACGGCCTGGCGAACGGTGATGGAAGTGGAGGGACGGAGAGTGACATTCGACCACGATTACTCTGTGGAGGTGGCGGCTAAATGTCGGAAATATGCGGGGCTCAAGAGAATTCTCAAAGACAAGCGGATTCGGTTTGAATCTCCAATGGACACACTGAGGGTTTACTGGAACGAAGGAACTATGGTGTATAAGAGTGCTCAAGACGCGGCGAGGGCGATGCGCTAGAGTGGCTGGCAGGTGCCGGACCCGGGAGAAGAGAGACCTACGCTACTGCAGAGACTGGAGGCAGCGCGCAAGTGGACCAGACTTCGGAGACGAGAGCGAGGAGACAACAACGAGATGCGAGTGAGGGAGGACCGGCACCATATTGGGGGTGTTGAGTAGTCTATAAGGGAACAAGATACAGCATTGAAAACAATGAAAAGACAGAAGGATGAGAGGTGACACTGACGGGCCATGGTGATTAGAAACAGACAGAGCACAGACACAAACAGATTTAACCAAATTACTTATAAACGCTATAGCCTTTTATTTTGTGCCCCGAAAAATCCTTTTGAAACACTGCAGTGAGTGAGTAAGAAAGGTTGTTGTTCTATCTCACACAGGGGTGGAGCCCCGATGGATAAACGCCCTGTCGCCCTACAACATCGACCCACCACACTGCCCCTGACCGGCCTTTGGTTAACAGCCACTGCACCCCAACTTCCTATCATCCGGTTGTGACCGTGGAGAAGTCGGGCCGCAGCTTACTTGGCTGGGTAGAGCCTAATTGGTCTGAATAAGCCCAGAGCTCCACCTTGCAGGTGCCAGCGCAAGTGACTATACACTGCAGACTACATTTCCCAGGTCCCTAAGGAGCATGGGGAGAACGTAAGTGCACCATGTCCCCCACACTCACACACCTTGTGTAGAGTGTGCATGGACCGTAGTGGGGAAGGCTCTCAGAGTCTTCCAGCACTGTATGGGGCTTACTGCACACCACGTTTCCCAGGTCCCTGAGGAGCATGGGACAACGTAAGTGCATTATGTCCCTGGGGTTCAGATACAGTTTACTGAGCTTATTAAGTTGGCACAGCGTTAAAAATGTGCTACAAAACCAACCAATGGATGTATAATCAGACCGTCAACAGCCTGATGGCAACCTAAAACCCCTCTTTTTCCATATCTCAGATCTCAGATATGATTGGAGACGGAAACAGCCAATCAGAACCCGGTTCCCCCCCCCGTTGACAATTCACGAGCGTCGATCTAATTTCCCCCCCCCCCCCCTTGTTGACAATTCAAATCTCAGGTGTTGGGGTGGGCCCGCCCTGGTAAATCAAATGCCCGCCCAAAGATGTATGTCTGCCGCCGGGTCTGGCTTCTTTAAATTAGTCCGGATTAAAATGTAAAATGTTATAGATAAATAATTCCCCAGCCTGCATAAATGTCCATACAGGTTCCTTTTATAAAAAAAATGGGGGGTTACGTATTGTAACCCTGGTTTTATAAGCACAGGCGGAGCCCTCTACTGGACACTATGGGTACTAACTCTCATCAATGATACGCGAGCGTTCACACACTGAAGTTGTATAAACGTAGCCGGCCAATCAGGGCGAGCCTACCTGAACTGTCATCCTTTTCTCTTCAGCGAGCAGAACAACACCTGACAGAGAAAAGTAAAACGTTTGAAAGAAGAAGAAAGAAGTTATCATACCTTCATGGAGACCAGGGCCTGTCCTTCGTGCCCTGGCTTAATAGCGGGCGCCGATCCCCACCACCTCTGCTTCGAGTGTTTGGGGGACCAGGATATGGCCGAGGTGGTGCCATTCACTTTCGCCATTCACGTTCGCCATTCACGTTCGCCATGCACGTTCGCCATGCACGTTCGCCATTCACATCGCCATTCACATTCGCCATTCACGTTCGCCATTCACATTCACCATTCCAGCGGGGCGGATGGCTCCGTTTGCCGGGGAGGAGGATGACGAGGACTTCTCGTTGGCGGGCACTTCCGGGTCCGGCGTCCATGGAAGTCCACCACCCAGGTCTGTCAGGACTTCCCCCTGGTGATGACCATGGCGGCGGAGCGTGTAGGGCTACCGCTCCCCCCACCACTGCCGCCGAAACCGGTGAGCCGCCTCCGCCAGGGGTTCTACAGCCCAGTCCGCCCAGACTTCATTTCGTCCCCGTTGCCAGATATCTGGCACAGGGTTTCCGCTAGGATTTTTTCTCGCCGGTCAAATGTCCGGGCAGAATTTATTTTACCGGACAAATTTGAAACTTACCGGTCATATTTCAATAATAATAGTAAGAGTTGTGTAGCAGAGTTTCCGTTAGTAGGTCATTACCGGACTATGAGCAGATATGCTTCAGTTTAAAACTCAGTTAATGGGCTCATTTTTATATTGCTTCAGTCTATAATCGTAACAGATCGAAAAATTCAGATCCATTTTTCAATAAATGATTCCACCAACAACAAACAACATAATTATTACATTCAAACAAACTACTTGTAGTAGCCTAGATAACGTACATTATTCAAAAGTTTACATTAACTTTGAATAATAACACGGGAGAAACGGATCATCTCTTTTCCCCTCTCCCTCTCTCTCTCTCCTGACAGCCCGTCAGTTTCTCATGCAGCTAAACAGAGGGCGGGGCTTCAGGTGATTATGCAGAGCTGCTTGTCTCGGTCTGACTCAGCAGCTGATCTGATCTCTCTCTCTCGCGTGTCCGGTTATACTTCACTCGCGTTTATGTCCATATCGATCAGATCCAGCTCTCCTGATCGGCCTTTATAGAGAGCACCGATCAAACTATTAAGAGTGAATATCGGCCGATAATGACCGGTGGCC